ATTTGAGCACTTATACATTTATTCTTAAATTTCTCACCTTAAGTGGAAATTCAGCTGTGTGGCCTCGTCTTATGTTGTGTTGTGTAACTATGCCAAGGAAACCGGTCTATATATCAACCATCAGCAAGTAGAGAGAAGTGATGGGCTGAAAGATGAGGAGGCTAAAACAGCTCTGCCACATCTTAAAGACGATCAAAAAAGAGTTACAAAAGCTGCCTCAACATCGACCCCTGCTGGACAGAAAAGGATGTGAAGGCCTAAAACATCTGGTGATCACAGCGGAAGAAAATTATCACAGCAAACAGTACAACAGATAAAGACCTTTATGTTGCTTTAATTCTCTCTTCTTCTTCTTCTTTTTTTTACCTTTACATCACATGTAATTAAATATAGCACATTTAGTTTTTTAATCTGCTGTTGTCCTGAGTAATCACTATGTGGCTCTGTTTATATCTGTACAAGATAAATGAAACAATCATAATTATCATAGTCTATATTTTCAGATTTGCTACATTGTTTTCTTATAATTAATTTGTTAAAGTTGCTAACCTCTAAATATCTTTTTATCATTATAATCTGCTCATTATTCTCTTGACTGAACCACGGATTTACTTTGTGAGGTGTAAAAAAATAGTGAAAAAATGTCAGCTCAGTCACTCAACACATGTGACACCTGCACTTGCCTTGTTTTTGGTCATTTTTCATGCCATGGTTTATTTCTTTAAATAATTGAAAGCTCAAAAATATTTAGTGTGCATAATGTTAAACTATTAAGTAACTTGTAGCTGAAGTTTTCAAATCAACATATTGGAATAAAATCTGATCAAATATTTTACTTACCTCACAAATATGCTAAAATAAAAATGCAACAATAGTACCCAAAAATGAAAAAATAATGAAGGGTAAATGTGAAAAACCTTCAAATGTACTTCAAATTTGTAATTTTCATCATTTTAGTGTAAGTGTGTGAGCGTGTACGTCTATGACGGTAGGAGATGAAAGAAAGGAAGCCAAGTGAGGATGTGTCTTGACCAACATTTCATATGTGTGCCATCTCTCTCTCTCTCACACACACACACGCAGAGTGCTCAGTCCATGCTGGAGGCGACTGAAGGCATTGCACTACTAGCCTACTTTTGGACAGGTCGGTCCTCTAAAAGCGTCCAGCCACCGTGAAATTCATATTATTCCCGTGAAGCACACACACACATACAGACACGCACACACACACACACGCACACACACACAAACACACACACACACACCATATATTGTCTCTTTATATACTGAACAAGCCTGCATGTACAGATTTCATACGTCTGGATTATTTTACGTTTAGGCCGTCGTGTTGTTGATGTTTTAACGTGTACATGAGTACTGTCAGATCTCTTCAAAGTTTATTTAATCTGTAACAGTGTATCCTGTTACAGTAGCTGATGATACCTAATGCACAAATAAATAAAAACTGCACCTGAAGGGTTTGAAATAAATGTAGAAGTTGCAAATATTTTACTAAAAATGTGTTTTACAAGCATAAAATTTAAATATGTCCATAAAAGTTTACTTTGGTAAATGTACTACTGATAGCTGTTGGTTGACTAGATGTACAATAAGCCATAAAAACACAACAGCACCTACTTTAACAGACTCATAAAGACATCTTAAAATTAATTTTATATTGAAACATTTTTCTTATTATATTCACACATTTTGGCCTTTTTTAATCCAGTACATATTCACGTATGTGTATATGTATAGTGAATTATTATCTTTGATTCAGCTAACTACAGCATAAAAATGACACTTGTAATGTAGTGCATAGGTAGTAATGATGAACATGGATACATTCCTTAATATAAAAGAAAGACGAACGAAACAATTTCTGGTGCCTTTTTAGTCACATCAATACAGGATTTCTAACAGGTCTAAGAAGTAATCCTTGGAGACCACAGAAAACCTCTGCTATGAGTAAAGAGTAAGTATCCGTTAAGTATTCAGTAAATCAAATTGCCCCCTGTGTGCTCATATAATGATCTGTTGTACTGTTATAAAGTATTAGATCATTATTACACATGCATTGATGCTTACTGCAAGTAGAGCTGTACTCTTTTGATGTGGCTGATGTGGAGCTAATTTATAAACTATTTTGTATTAAAACGTAAAAGAACCCCAGTGAGAACTCCTCATCAGTAACACAGTGACAGTGTATCAAATCACCACATTTCGTGAAAATGATGATATTTTTAGACTAAATAATCAACTTTTAAAATCACAGTGTTAGAAGTCACTCTAAGCACTTTTTTTTAAGGTAAATGCAGTGAAATGCGAGTAAAGTTTGTTTATTAGGCAATTTTTACTGACACTCACAAAGCCCTGTGAGTGTAAAATAAATAAGAAATTGTCACAATAGCCAATAAAAAGACACAATAGATGGATGTAGATGAATATAAGTATGAGAAGGTGGGAGCTGTATTACTCCTCTAAAGTACAAGTACATGAAAGTGTGCTTAAGCGCAGTAATATTTATGTGCAGTGAGTTTAATCCAGTGATTTCTCAGTGAACGAGAAGCTGGATGAGGTCTGGCTGTCTGGAGACAACGTCAGCGTGCCATTGCGCATCCGGAGAGCGCGCGCTCCAGCGGTAGGAGCGAAGGGGAGGATGAACACGATCGTGGAGGTTTTGGTGTTGATGGTAATGGCGGGGAGCGCGTGAAGCCGTTTCTCGTGGGATTAACTCTCGTGGACATGGATTTAATGGACGATCGTAGTTGTTTTAGTTGTTACTTCTGCTGAGAGACGCAGACAAACAGAAAGGAGCGGGAGAGATGGGGGACCGACAGCGGCGGACCGGGAGACTCGAGAACCTCACTACCAAGTCCCGGGTCTCCAAGGAGACCAAGCTCCGGTTGCGCGTGGTCTTCCTGGATGACAGCGAGCGCACGTTCGAAGTGGAGGTAAGCCCTTCACAGGGGGTAGTGAAAACATTTATATTTACTTTTCTGAGTGGATCCACATACAGCACGTGTCTCTCTTCAAAACAATATTATAAATGATCAAATGTGTCGAATATGCGTTTTAAATCTGTCTGGATATTATTTTTTCCCTGTTTTTATAAAGCTTTCTGTCACTTTGTTTGCGACTTTCTTTCCCTCCTTCCTGAAAAAAGAAAGAAATCAAAGAGGGGAAATCCACCACGGGCTCTGTTCAGACTGGATTCTTCTCCAACATTTACCTTTTAATATAATATTTATGATTATTATCTGGGAGTACCTGGTCGTGCACTTCTCTGGTCTGACAGGGTTTAATCTGCTGTTTAATATAAGTTAAACCTGCTATTTTAGGTTTTTATAGCGTGTGCAAAACAGAAACTGACCATTTAAGCGTAAATGTGCTTCACATTTTCAGAGTGTTCCTTATTCTTAGGCACCAACATCTGACACAAACCCCGTGTCTCTGATTATCTCTGTTGAACAATCAAAAACAGAAGAAGAGCGCGCAAGTTATATTTAAATAAATAGCAGATCTGTGGTCAGTATACTGTAGCTATACTACCATATTCCCATATACTTATTTTTTCAGCTGGGTTTTAATCAGTGGCAAAACTGCAATCAAAGATACAAAAGCACAAGATTGCTGCACTCAATAATCAATTAATTTATCTATTACAGATAACCACAGACTGTATAAAAAGATGGAAAGAGTTTCAGGTCTGTCAATCTGGTCTTTAAGTGATGACGTATGAACCCTGTTTCCTGGTCCGAACTACTGTGAGTTTATTAGGGCTGTTGTGTTTTTAACATGTTTTAATGCTTTGCATCTTGTTCTATTTAATCTGAACAAGCACCTTTAAAAAGTCAGTGATCACTGTCGGCCTCTCTCTGTGATTATTGCCACTATTCATTTTAGAGCTCAGTTTTTAAAACCTTACGATGTAACTACAGCCCAGCCCATGCAGCTGTACATTAATGACTAACCTCATACTGTGGATGGATTATATCAGTTGTTCTCCTGACTGAAGTTTGGTCCGTTTACATGCAATTACATTTGTCCCCGGCAGCTTTCACAGCTTTTTTGACATAAAAGAAATGATGGATTATATGATATGGAGAACACACAGGAGATAAATGTGTGTTATGGCCTTTTTCTGCTTGCACCTACATAACACTATTTTACCTTAGTGACTCACAAAGAGAACCACAATGTGAGTTGCTTGCCTACTAACATTAGCAACTTGAGTTTTAGTGTCATATCCAAGTGCAGTTTAGCACAGGTGAGGAGAACAATCAAAACCTCTCCCACCTGAGTTACTGCCACTCTTGACTCCCTCTCTCTGTGTTAGTTTGTCCAGTAAAATAGGGAAAAAGATGAAATAGGGAAACAAACTCTCAAGCTTTCTGACAACACTGGTACACCTGTAACAGTTGATTGTTTGTCTTGCAGGTGCTGTTTAGCGGCAGAAAAGTGTTTGTGAAGGCAGGTTTGTGTAGATTTATGCATTGTTAGGACTGCTCTCTCCCCTAAAAACTGAAATTAATGCATTAACGAGGCTCAAACCCCAGTTCTTCATTGGAAATGGTGTGTTTGAGCCACCTCCTGTCTAAACTTTCATTCTTTAATGGAAAAGCTCCAAAATGTCTTTTCAGAAACTCTTACGTGGGCTGTTTCACATGGTAGGCAAAAATGAGAGAAATTGTCTTTAAATATTAGTATTAGTCATCACAGTGACTAATACTGCCATTACTAATACAGTTTAATTTTCACTCAGCATTAAATATACTGATGCAGTCTTGAGCAACATAATGACAGGCAGAAGTCAGTTAAAAAAAAAACTGTAACCTGATTTAAAAATTAAAAAAAAGGTTTCATTACAGTTGTAGGTGCTTCAGGATTGCTGAACAGCATCAGGAGTGCTTCCAAATCCGCTGTTTTGCGTCAGATTCTCCCAGTGTCCCTCCGTGATCGTCTCAGCAACAGCGTGATACGTAGTCAATGTCACCAGCAGCCCTCAATGGAAGAGTGGATTAGGAAGTGACTGCAATGGTTTGGCCACATCTGCCGCATCACCTTTTGATGCAGCAGCACCCCGCCCACTGGAGAATCAAGCGTGGCGCGCCTAAGAAGACTTGGATCAAGCAAATTGAAGACGATTTTAAACAATGACGTCTAACCCTCGAGTAAGCAAATGTGAAGGCAAGAGACCACAAGGCCTGGGAATGCATCATTGACCAAGATGGAAACCCTACGGCACCCACAGCGATGTATTGGCTTCGTGGACAACCTCCCCTGCCAACCACCAGCTAGGGACAAAAGAAGAAGAAGAAAGATAGCCTGTACTTTTTGCATTCACACTTGTGCATTGATGTACCTGATCTGCCATCAGGACTGCCTGAGCTGTTCATGTTGGACTTGGAGCTGATAAATGTTGAATGACAGCTGATTTTACTGTCACAGCAAACAGAAGACTTCAGAATCACCCCTGGCCAATAAGCGTGTTATTAGAGCTATGGAAACCAGAAAAATGGCACATGTCAACATTGTCAGAGAACTAGCTATTGGATTAGCGATGTTGGCGAGCTATTTTACAGTTACCATGATATAGATTTCAATATCCAATCTATGCTGTGGGTGTGCTGGAAGTTGATAAGTACCTACCTAGAAATGTTACTATATGGCGCACTTTGATTGGTCTTTAAAGTGCTCCCGTTTACTCCTATGCATTTCTGGTTATTCTTGAACTCATTTTTCTCTTTTATTAGAAGAGAGAAACTTCACTGCCAGCATGTGTTTTGTCAGTGAAATAGCCGTACAGCAGAGAAACACCATCCTGAGGGATAAAAGCAGGCCACAGCGTCAGGCTCTTACATATGCACATGCGTATACATATATGCAATGCAGTATCATCACTGTACTAGCATGTTTCCAATGTTTGCATGTCAACAATTCCAGTTAGAGACACATATAGCCATTTGGGGTTGCATCAGGAAGTGGATCTTTCATGAAACGCTGCCTGATCTATCTGACATTATCAAGTGATACCAAGCAGAAATATCACAGTTGTTAACATCTGCATTGCTAAAAGTTATTGGAAAGAGTTTTAGGGTTGTATGTACAGTGTGTCTCTGAACACCTCCAAAAACCTGAATGTTGTTGCCAGCTTCATAAGTCGTGTGGCTGTAAGCACATCCACCACAAAGTAATGACAGAGAATTAAACTTAGATGGAAAATTCAATTTGATTTTATTTAACCTCCTAGGACCTGGCGTCCACATATGTGGACATCACATTTTGGGTTATTTAGACTAAAATACTCAATTTTGCTCTACAAGGCCCGATATCCACTTACGAGGACATTATGCTGCTACTGTTCTATCAAAATATGAAACGAATATCCTCATATGTGGCTCTTATTTTTCTTAAAAACAAAAATAAGGTTAAAAGAAATCTGGTAATTCTTTGTTTTTACATTCATCAGGTCTCAATCAGCCCAAATATCAAAGAGAAATTAAAAATGCATGACGTGGAAGAGTTCGGGTCTTAGGAGGTTAAAATCACAACCACAGTCACTTCTTGGTGACTTAATTAAGTCTGTCTAAAGAAAGATTTTTTTTTTTTTTTAATGGGCCAAACAGCTGCAGATGTTTACCAGCTGTGTGAGGTGTAAACACTCTGCTGTCTATGAACAGCCATGTGCTGCTCTACTATCCAGGTCAGAAAAAGCAGACCAACAGGCCTCTTTTTCAACATGGTAACGTCGCCTGCGAGGCAGTATTGCAATCTAAAAAGAATCTGTGTGTGAGTGTGTTTGTGAGTGTGTGTGTGTGTGAGTGTGTGTGCATGACTTGCAGTATTGTGCTAGCAAAGGAGCTCCATTTTCCATGCCCATGCTTTCTTCCCTGTCAGTTTCCCAGCGGCCTTCGGGACATTAGCAGCGTCTGTACAAGAGGAAAGAGAGCTGAAGGAAAAGGCATGGATATACAGAACAGGGAAAAAATAAAATGTGATAAATTTAGTAAACACCCTGATCAGGCATAACATTACAACCACCTGCCTAATATTGTGTCGGTCCCCCTCTGTACTGCTGTGGGGTCTTTACCTTATGATATAAAGAACCGAGAGGTGACTGTAGTTGGGATTTAGTGAGATATAAATAAATTTTAATTTAGCTTAATTTTTCTGCCAAAACATCCCTGACTTACTGAGGCATGGACTTCACTAGACCCTTGAAGGCATGCTGTGCTATCTGGCATCAAGATGTTAGCAACAGATCCTTTAAGTCCTGTAAGCTGTGAGGTGGGGCCTCCGTGGAACGGACTTGTTTGTCCAGCACATCCCACAGATGCTTGCTTAAGATCTGGGCAACTTCAAGGCCAAGTCAACAC